GCACCTCATTTCCAACAGATGTCATCACTTCAGACGGGACACTGTTCTGGCGGATGGGATATGGTTTTAAGGATAAAATCTTTCCGTGGTGTCGTCCATGTTAAAATCGAAAGATACACGGACACAAGTACAATACTGACTTCGATGTACGCCCATTGCAAGTGTGTCACTTGACTAAAGGAGCAGAGCAAGGCCCTGCAAACACTGGTCCACGGTACAAATTTAAGTGTGCAATACTTTTCACTGAGCTAAATACTAGTAATAACAAGAAGTTATAAGAGGAACTAACAGCCTGTTTTCCTTTCACTAAATACTGAGCATCTGATACGACAAAGGCAGCATAGAAAACACCATGTCCAACAGTTTTATTATTGCATTTGTATTCGCTGCCACAGGAACATGTTTACAGAGTTGTTGCCTAGCAACGACACGAGGGAGGATACACAGACATAAATACAGCAACGTGATATCATAACTCTCTTATTTCTAGCCTACTTTCCTTATTCTGAAAAAAATGAGTTCTGACAAAAACTGGTCACATACTTTCCTTTCATATAAACACACAGTGTACAGAAAACAATGCGTCCAACAATTCTTCCATTGCTGGGTGCGCATCTGTTGCCTCAGGAACGTGCTTACATGCTGTAACAGGCCATGGAGGTCCACAGGGTCGTGAGATGTAGAAGCTCCCAGTTTCTAGACAATCGGCTCCCAGATGACAGGGAGCTTGTCAGCCTTACGCGTCGGCCACCCTTTACCCCAAGATTACTGATACTCATTTCTGTCAAAGGTTGAGGTGACCCCAGGGTCATAGTGCGGCTCGAAACATTAGGTCAACTGAAAATGCAATGACCTCATCGGGAATAGAACCCGCGACCTTCTGGCTTGTAGCATAGCACCTCAACCAGCTACAGTGCTATCTGTGCCCCTGGCTGGTAGAATACTGTCATGTGTATTAGTGACTAATAACGCGGATTTTGGATTGGATGAATGAGTTTATTTACTCCTGATACACACTACCAGTAATTACACGTAATTATAGTGCTATCACTATTTCTACACTTTAAAATTCACTGTTACACACATACTAGGATTCTCAGTTCCCACTAGTCGTCTCCAAGCAACGGTTCTCAACACAGAAATTAGCACTTCAAATTACTATGAAGTCTTCTTGCCATTTTGTCTTCAATCACTCTAGAACCTCGGAACTAAAAATTCTTCTGACTCACTCCTCCAGCTTACGGCTGACTCTTTAACGTCAAAGTCAAAGTCACATTGCAACTGATGGTCAGTCAGTCAGTGAGTCTTGGTGTCAAGCCCCATCTGGGGCTCATGACCAGGTATTAATTATTACCGTTTGACAGTTACAGTCTTGCTTCTGCGGGACCCCCTCTCTGACAAGAGGATGGGTCTGTCTTATGTATATGCTGCTGGCCCTTGCCAGTGCAGTCTTTCTTAGGTCCAAGTCCCTTGGGACTCACAATCATATTTTACTGTCTCAGATTTGAGACTTCCCTTTTCCGTCTCCTACAACTCGCAGGGTCACGGTGGAGGTATTCAACCCCACCTCCACATGGGGTACTCTTTTTAACGAATTGTCACTCTTACTTATATAGTCACAGAACGGACATGGACCTATAGTAAATACATATCATGTGATCACTATCCAGCCAGTCTATTGTGCCTTGGTCAGATTTACAGAAAACACAGTTTCCTCTATTGTTGAGTGTTGGGCCATGTTTACAGAGCTGTTGCCGGCAACCCATCAATAAAATCCATTACAATATATAATGTAATAAATAAAATACACTATTGCTGTCTCTTATTTAATGGTGAGTCACAATATACCATCCTGTTGCAGCAAAATTCTCCAACTGAAAAGACAAATGTTATTTGTCCCATTTTCTGGGACAAGACGTTGGCATTTTCTTCGTCCTGACACAGTTCTGGATCATCAACGGGTTCTTCACCTGAAGAACTGAGACAGATACACAAAAAGAATTCTTTAAAGTTCTGCCCCCTTTCTCATTTGTCTGTCTGCCAGCCACCTCTTCTGGTACAACTTTCCTTGGAGTCAACAGTAAGATTTTGGAGTGTTTCTGACCTGGTGTTTTCTGATTCACTGAATTCACTGGATTATTTTATGATTCAACCTCCACATTAGACTTGAAGAGACTCAGGGTAGCAATGGGAATTCTCTCATCACTCCTGGCTTCTCATTTCTTTATGAGAAATAATTCTTCATCATTCATCATTCCTGAAGCCATGTTATTCAGAGATATAAGAAATTCCTTATTGTCTCTATGACGCACGATTTCATTTTGTTCAGATATGCAGGAAATTTCCAAGAGTGCAGCAAAATTCATGCAGAACCATCAATTTTCCTTTAGAAGATAGATAATTGTCTCAGACTGGTTTCACCTGCCTGAAGCCCCCAATACAAACAACAGACATACTGCCAAACATTTCACTTCTCTTTAAAATCTGTCCAAGTCTTCCCTCAACTTGCTGAAACTGTCTGTAGCCAGCCATGCTTATTTCATCAATGATAAACAGCCTTATGTCAGACAGCTGTAATGAAAGTTGCTTTGCTGACAATGCTGGCAAATTTGACTGAAACTGGGAGACAGGCAGATAAAATACTGAATGCAATGTAGAGCCATTAATATTATGCACAGCTTTCCCCATGGGCAAAGAAAGTAAAATATTCAAGACATTAACATTTGAGCCTGGTCTTGATGTGGAAAACTGAACACCTGCTTGGCAGATAGCTTTGATGAGGTGACTTTTTCTGCTCCTGTACTGCCTGAAACAAATTCTTGTGCTTTTTAGAATATGCAGTTTTTGCAGGAAGTAATGCCACTGTTGAACGTTCAGACTCCTTACAAAATAATAAAAAACGGAAAGAAAAGAATCCGTGATTTTAGTCCACAAGCGAACTATACCGGCCGAGTGACCTCTGCTTATCAGCGAAGTTAGTGCCAACTTTAGTGGATACAGGGTGTTGTGTGGTCAGCACAATGGATCCCCACTCCTATTAATTTCGGTTTTCTAGACCAGAGCCGCTACTTCCTTGAATTATCAATTCCTCAATTATCCTCATGAGGCTGAATGGACCCCATTCCAGAACCACTACTTCTCAGAAAATCCCGGTAGCGCCGGGAATCGAACCCGGGTCCTCTGGATATGTAGCCAGGAACTCTGACCACCAGACCACAGAAGACTCCTTACAAGTTGAAGAAATTCTGATATTGTGATCTGCTTTGTTGGTTGGAATTTCTGAACCAGTTCCTGTCCTGGTTCATTAACCACGGCCTAGAAAATAAACCCCCAGCCACTTCAAATTCATTTTTAGCTTCTTCCTAGCTCTCTTTAACTGTGTAATCTGCTTTATCTTCTTTCTCCATGGTTAGCTCAAATTCTCTTCATTGCAAATTGTGTGCCTTGCCTACCTAAATTCTGCTGAAGCCACAGGCAGGCACCATGCAATTTCTTTATCTCCTTGCCATAGAAGCGTCCCCTTCCCTTGTGCTTCTACTGGCCTAGATTGCATGTTATCACAGAATACAGCCGTGCAAACGTCTACTGGTTTTTCATTTGCACAAAATGCAAATCTTGTTGTTTTTCATTTCCCCTACATATTGATTTTGAGCCTCTTATGCCACTGCAGACTTTTCTGATTCATGTAGTTCATCTTTTTGTCCTAACCAGTAACACATGAATGCCAGCACTCATGTGCTGCAGTTCAATTACCATTCTTTTCAGCACATGAAATAACTGACAATTTGAAATGCAGTGTATAGCTGTTGTAGTTCTTCCCCAGTATACACATTTCAGACTGAAATATAACACCTTTCACCAAATCACAGACTAATAACTGCTTCACATATGGCATTGCTTCATCAGAGGCTTGTGCCTTTGTTACTAATGCACAGCAGTGCTTGCTGAGTATCTCCTAATTAGTGGCGGCATCTGTTGACAGAAGTGGCAGTCTAGTGGGTCATAGTATAAAATTTCCAACTGTCTGACTGTGCAGTCACTCAGTGCACTATTTATACCCATACTTTTCATGAAGGATCATTTAAGCATGATGGGTTTCCCTAAAACAAGACATGAAAACTACTCAACATTTTTTCCCTTCATTTTCTTTTCTAAAACATTGGAGGGGGGAGATTATGAGAGTAAATATGGTAGTATATATTAGTGTACCAATAATGCTCTTTGAAGATTACTGAGATTACTCAAAAATGGGAACAATTTTAGTGAGTCCGCCACATGAAATTTCAACAAAATCTATAGAAGGGATTATGGAATACAAAAAAAAGTTAATTTATGACCTTATGCAAACTCGGATTTATTAGCAATTAATATGACTGAAAAAACTGCCCAGTATCTTTTGCTGGAAGCCTTCAATATCAAATTTCAATACAATCTGTGAGACAGGTTATGAACTACATGAAAAAGTTCATTTACAGCCTTTTTGTGAACTAGGCTTTGTATTGGATTAACATGGGTGAATATTGGAACTGCCCACCAACTTTTAGTTGAAATGTCCCTCATTGTGTTCCAGCAAAATTTCTTAAAACATATACCAAATACAGGCATAAACCTATTCACAGCCATATGTGAACTGGGGTTTATTACAGACTGGTACAGCCTCTCACATCAAGTTTTTAGAAAATCTGCCCCATGGTTTAGGCTCTGATAATATGTTACAAAGGGACAGACAGACAAATGTGATCTCTACATCAGGTGTTCTGTTTTTACTTTGTAAAGAAGGCCTAAAATATAGCAGTCAGAACATGAACAGCATTCCAGCCTTACATCAAACTCAAATACCCAGATAACTGGGAAGGAACCAAAATGTTGTAATCTAAAGTCCTGTCCTATTTAACTCAGAAAAATGTGCACAATATATTGGTGATAAGAAGCGTTTTATCTGTACTATCCATAAGAACATGAGTTTATGTATTCAAGACTAACAATAACACATTACTCACCAAATGATTAGATGGGTTCATCTTCCCCGCAGCTTGCAACATGCTACATACTCTCGACAGCAGAACCTCCTCATGCACTCTGGCTGCATCGCGAACCTCACGTATTAAGTCTGCCAGTAAATGAAAAGGTATACCAACTGTTCTTACAATATATAAATATCTGAAATAACACATAGACTAAAAGACTGGATATTTGAATCTATGGATAACAACACAAAATTATAAACTTTATTTCTCCACAAAGCTCACACCTGTAATTCCTGTCCTCTTAGAAATTTGGGCTGCTTTATTTGGATCACTTATTACACACAGACACCTGTCATAAATTTCTGATATTTATAGCAATGAACTCAGGTTTACAAAGAAGGGGGTTTATTTGATTTTAACTTTAGATCTTCCCTTAACATTGCATGTCACCCTTCTTACAAGCATTTGTCGTCACAATCTGCTTCAAAATCTTAAAAGTAAACACTTTTCATGAGGTTTCCTTACAACAGTTCTATATGAATTTCTTTTCCCATTTAGGCTGTTTGCCACATTTTAACTTAATTTCATATACCAGTTAGAGTTGGAATGCAAAAAAGAAAGAGGCAGTGTGCTCAGTGCCTGCACATAGCATATACCCACCCCTGCTATTACTCTTCATAAAATATTTTCTTTTCACATGTACTGTTCATGTCTGTTACACACAGGATAATGTTTTTGGAATGCAGCCAATCACTCAAGGAACTGACAGAGTTCAACAGCACAAATGTCATATGTCAAGTCTAATCAGCATGAATCAAACGTTCCTCATGAAGTAATGAAGCAATTCAATTTAAAATGGAAGAAGGGATGCTACAGAACAAGGATCAAGAACTCTCAGAACATACCTGATAGCATTCCGGGCTCATACTGAGGAGGAAGCTTTTGCCATGATTGTTTGAGAGTTTCAAGCTCTGCCTTCATCGCTTGTAATTCCTGGTACAGTTGCTTGTTACTTTCTTGCAGGGCATTCACCTGCACCACAAGACTCAGCACCAGTGCATTTGATGTTGGAGTGCTAGCATGACTACATGTGTCACTAGAGTCTGAACTGTCTGCACTGTAGCAAGGAGATGGTGCCCTCTCCACTGCAGCAGGTGACCTGTCAACAAGCAATGTTCTTATGTCCACTTCTAGAAACATAAGCACTAAAACAATCTTTCTGTTAACAGGACTTGAGGCACCAATATTTCTAATATCAAAGCCCACCATCCAATACAATCCTGAATCACTTCAATCCATAAACATCAACAAAAACTTTTTTTTACATTAATACCCTATCTCCTTAGTCTTCACAACTGATTATTTTCCAAGGCATCCAACTCAAAATTCTGTACTTATTTCTTATTTATTTATTGCCTATTTAATAATGCAATCAGCAGTTCACACAATTTAGCACTGAATAGTAGGACGATTTGTGAATCATTACCTAGCTTGGGTTACTAACCTAGCATTTGTCTGATGGATCAAGAAAACCATAAAAATATCAATATAAGCCAGCCTTGGTGTCAATGACCTCCTGAACATGAACAGGGGTGCTCACACACCAACTGTGATGTTTGGTATATGCATTTGTTGCTTTTCTCATTCCAGTTATATGTCCAACTCAACATACCTTAATCTGACTATCCTAATAATACAAGGGATGCAGGGATCATGAAGCTTCACATTACATGATAACCTCAATTCCACAATACAACTCTCTGCACCCAAACCTTTATTTTCAAACAGCTGTATGTTTTATGTTCTGCCCTAAAAGTTAAAGTAAAGTAAAGGTATCCCTGTAACAGGCCATGGGTTGTGAGATGTCGAGGCTCCCACATTTTCTAGACAAATGGCTCATAGTTGATGGGAAGGTTGTCAGCCCTACAGACCAGCTGCCCTTTACACCCAAGAACATTCCAAGAATAGTCCTTGTACTCATTTCTATTAGAGGCTGAGTCGACCACAGGACCATAGTGCAGCTGGAAGGATTAGGTCAAGTGAAAATAAACCAATGACCTCATCGGGACTTAAACCCACGACCTTCCAGCTTGTAACATAGTGCCTCAACCAACTACGCTACCGCGTGCCCCCACCCTAAAAGTAAGAAACCATATTATTTCCTTCTTTGCCACTGGTCAGATGGTGTGGAACACATTTTGCAGTGGCTTTCATTTCTACAGTATTTCAGTCAGAATTCTGAAAACAGAAAATACTGGAATATTTGTTTCACAAGGAAATGTGTCACAAGCTATGTGATGGCCTTCTTTCGTAAGGATGCCAATAATAACCATGGATGTATCTTTTGTAACTGGTGATGGTCTCCTACACTCTTTGTCTGTGATGCTTATGCAACCAGCACACAAGCATGATGCGCAACGGGATACAATACTGCAATCCACTGCATCATCTCCACAGACTTCTTACAATTCAGTGTGGACCTCAGATTACTTCTTGCCAAATAAAGTTTGAATTTTGAGGCATGAGAGCACTTATCACTACATGATATCTGACTAGACACATTTACATGGTAATAACATAAAAAAACAAGAAAGAGAATCAAATGCACATCTCACATGAACAAACTAAAAAGATTTCATTATTCTATTCCCCACTGTGCAGTGAGCATTTGGATGACCCTCATATACACAATTTATTGATATACAACCATGACATACAACAACTGGGAATAATACTTCACCTTGTTGGTACTTTTATTTCTAGTGCATGTTTCAGTTCTACTAAAGCATCGTCAGGTGGATACTCAACATAAATTGGAAGGATAACATTTTTACAATCAGTTAATTGATACTTCATCATTAATGGCACATATTGGAAATAAAAAGGACAATAAATCCCCAATACTGAACAGAAGTGAATGAACAAAATTACAACAAAATTTCCTTGTGGACATCAAATGGGAGGAGAGATCAATGATGAACTGGGAAGAATTTGGAAGGGAGTGGTAATGGCTTCATTCACATGCTACCCTGACATTTCCTCATAAGGTCCCAGGAAAACCATGATACCCTCAGTCAGGAAAGCTGATGTTCTGGCCAAGATTCAAATACAGCACCTCCTGAATACAGGGCAAGAGTATTACCACTATGACAGCCTGTTCAATATGGAGATGTTCTGCTATAATACTGTGGCATATTCACTCAGAGCAAGAACTGTGGAGTTGCAACAGTCGGTTATTACTAGGCAGTGATCCATAAACAATAGAGGAATGGTGTTTTCTGCACAGTCCATGCTGATGGCTGCTCATGCAACAGTGGAATGTCATGCAATCGCTAAGCAACAATTTCACTGCAACAGAGGAATGGTGTTTTCTACATGGTCTATGCCAAGATGTTATTAAGCAGGACAAGTTAGTTTTTGCAGTTAGTCACAGGACTGCTGTGGTTGTCAACGTGAGCTGTTGCTGTCAGAACCTGATACCTGAGGCCAGGGCCTGTGTGGGAGCCCAGAGGAAAGTTGGAGGCCAGGAGAGAGAACGTCCAGGAACAAATCGATGCCGAAATTAAGCTTGTCCTAGAAAAGGTGAAAGCCACAGAGTCGGAGGTGAATCAGAAAGAGGTAGAGGCTGTGGCACAGCATTAAGAAGTTCATAACAAAGAGGACTGAGGACAGAACTAGGGATCTGCACAGCATAAGGGTCACAGTCATAAAGGACTGATAGTCAATAAGAGACAAATCTGAAATGCAACAATGGAATACAGGAGCATGGCACAAAATGGCAGTTGTGTCTGAGCAAGGAGAGGACATCTGGTAGGATTTTCAAGAAGACTGTAGAGCTGGAGATCGAAAAGCAAATAGTCAGGTCTTCATCTGGGCTACAGAAAGTGGGTGACTGGACATTGTGGAGGGGTTGGCCCCCTCAGAAACGAAAGAAGAGACATCCAGAGCACAATCCTCAGAAAAGATGATGGTGGTACAATTGGACCGTCTCGTACCTTATCAGGGAACCGCTCAAGACAAGCGGCCTTAAGGTGGGAGCAGCAAGAGCAACTGGGAAGTAATCAATGTGAGAACCGAGCCACGGGGAAGGAAGGCAAAACCAATCACAGTCATCACAAGCACAGCCTTCAAAGAAGAGGAAAAGGCGCTATGCCTGTAGACTACTCAGGACAAGCAGCCTTGAGGAGGGAGCAACGTGGCATATTCGCTTAAAACAAGAATTGTGGAATCACAACAGTCAGCCGTTATTAGGCAGCAGCCCGTAAATAGCAACAGAGGAATGGTGTATTCTATGAGAAGTAGCATTTGGGGAGTAATCACTGTAAGAACAGAGCCATGACAAAGGAAGGCAAGGCCAGTCACAGATATCGCAAGCATTGCCTCAGAAAAGAAGAAATGCCGGTAAGCCTGTAGGCTACTCAAAATGAGCAGCCTTCAGGTGGGAGCCTAAGTACAGCAGTGAAGACCACGATTGAGAACAGTAATATGTGTGTGACAGTGATTTGTATCGTGTAGTCTCTAGTTGTTTGAGAGTTCAACATATGGGATTACCAAGGCAAACCCCATCTACCATCACTCTATCATGTGACAGTGTGATCTGACACCTTCGTGTACAACACACTAATTCCATCCGCAAATTCAGATCCTAAAAGAAACATTACGATAATCAGAAACACAAGAAACATCAGGGAAACATTTGAAATTTCATGCCCTGATGCTTATGAACTACAAGCATAGGAGGTAATGACTATACAGATCAATGAAGAGAATATTATGAAATCATGTGAATATCCATAAAGTGATAAAAATATATTTTCTATCTTGTTCTGAACACAGCAACGGTGAACGGTTTTATGTTCCACAACAAAATCAACACACCTACATGCAAATATGGAACAAAATGCACCCAATGAAACAGCTGATGAAAAAACTTTCATCAAACATTCAAAATAAAGAAAAAAGGTTTCTAGCCTGGTAAAGCCTCACCCAAAATTATTCTAGATATTCAAAAAATCATCAGTCATTATAAAATTGTAATAACTGCATTGGTGAGAAACAATAATCTAAATCAGATGATGGTAATTAACCATTAATGTCAGTGTGTCATACAACTGTACCAACACATGTATGTGCTGATTCAGCAGGCCCCTAGGCTTACCATCACACTGTTTACAGTATATATCCCATTACCACCAAGTTTAAATCCAGTCACCAATGCCACAGCAGTAGGAAATCTAAACCTGGGTGATAAAGGTTAAACATATTACAAGTGTGAAAAGCGCAAGCTTCCATTTTGCTATACTGGGTACTTCCGAACTTACAACCAACAATCAAATGCTGAAGTGCCAAATTGTGGTAAAGAAAACCTGTTACTGCACAACATGCAAAATAATATCTTATCAATGCACCATAAAAACTGTATACTAAATTAATTTTAACTTTTTAGATATTGCAATTTTTGCAAAGTATGACTATTATGCAAGTTTCCCATATACCACTCATTTCAAATAAAATATGTGGACAAAAACTGAGCCGACAACACCACAAAGTGATGTGTGAAGTGAAACGGACAATTAAAGAATATGAATAAAAAATACAACATAATAATGACTGAGAATTAAGAAGATATGAAGAAAATACATAATTCTTTCCTAGTTTGATTTTAAAAGATTTCTTACTTTACCACTTAAACAGTTACAAACCTTCTAATGCATGGGTCGCTGAACCTCCGATGGACTGTATCGGGTGCATGTGACCTTCTTGCAGGTGGCAGGCTTGTGAACTCCTCATTAGTGCCAGAATCGACACAAGACTGCAGTTTTGATGAAGTTCTTCTTCCATCTCTAATATCCCTACAACTGTCTTGTGAGAGAGGGGGTGCAGACATATAGAGTCCTTGCAGTCCATTAGCTCGAGCCACTGGTCTGCTGCTACGCTTCCGTGAAGAGACTGGTTCAGAAGGCACAGGCACATAAGTTGCATACACAGGCAAAGAAACAGGCTCCAGAGAGTAACCTACTGGCACAGAGTAGCGACACATGGCTGGTTCTGATGCAGTGGGGAAAAGTCTTCGATCAAATAAAGGCATGGGTTTGTTTGGCCAATAAGATGCAGGTACTCTGCTGATAGGCTCGTCTTCCAGTCTGTATCTTGTCTTGGGCTCCTGCTGGAATTCCCATGATTTGTCAAGCCATTCCTGAAGATAGCCACAATGTTTTTTCATCTGACTCCTTTTACGTTTTCCCAGACACAAATTCCCATTCACCTTCGGGCTGCAGTTCTCATTCTCCACATCATACTTGCTCCTGCAGAGATTAAACCATATGATTATTAAAAAAAATCACTTGAAACTTTCATAATGACTAAAATATCCTCTGATCACAAATTTCATATCTTTCTTTAACAAATCCTTTATGAATGGCTTCCCAGGAAGTTTTGGTTGGGTTCTACTCAGAAAGATAACGAATATTTCTTTCCAACCTGTCATAATTTTAATCTAAGGCTTTTGATCTAAGGATGTATAGATCCACATTTTCTTGCTATCAGCAACAGTTGGAGGTGAGTGGTCAGCTTCAGGCCCCTGCCCTTTATCCCCGGGGAAAGAGCTCTCCAATATCCATTGGACAGGAGGCTGGGTGGACCACAGAGCTGGTCTGGACAATGTGGAGAAGAGAAAATTCTTGACTCTACCGGGACTCGAACTCCGTCCCCTCAATTGTTCAGCCCATAGCCAGTTGCTATACTAACTATGNTTAATTATTATGCCATGAAGGTGTATGGAGGAATGGATATATAGATCCACATTTTCTTGATATCAGCAACAGTTGGAGGTGAGTGGTCAGCTTCACGCCCCTGTGTTTTACCCCCGGGGAAAGAGCTCTCCAATATCCACTGGACAGAAGGCTGGGTGGACCCCAGAGTTGGTCTGGACAATGTGGAGAAGAGAAAATTCTTGACTCTACCGGGACTCGAACTCCGTCCCCTCAACTGTTCAGCCCATAGCCAGTTGCTATACTAACTATGCTATCCCAGCTCCTAAAAGACATTCATATGATTCTATTTCCTTATTAGAAATTGCATTTACAAAACAGCTCCCCATGCCTTCACTCTTACTAATTTATAAATAAGCTAATATAAAAGAGTTTACCCTTTTAATTTAAAGCCTACGTGCTAAGTCTTCCAAAGTTATCTGCTGGACTTTGAGCATCTTATAAAGAATCACCGCAATTTTGATAAATACAGGAAGTAATGGTAATCTTATGGGTCATGTGACCAACTATAGCGTAAAATACAAAAGGATAGCAAGACTGCAGAATTTTCAGAATAGCTTGCATTTTGAGCAACACCAATGTTTTAACAGGATAAAACTCTGGCGCCTTTGAATCTAAGGACAAGTTGAAGCTGCCTCCAATTAAGCACCATACCATGGAACAAAAAGAGATGCATGCCTTTACTCTTCAGAATTTCAGAGAGATAAGTAGTCAGCTTCAATTGCCTTATCCCAGAACTTGAACAGAGGCCATTCAATTTGAAGCCAATCATTCTACTCAATGAACTATTGGTATCACAACTCACCCATGTAATATCAATCATGAAAGCAACTTGTACTGTGGTCTCTGGTTTACTTGTTATTACATCAATACAAAGAAACAATATCCCCCACAGGAATTATGCTGCACCATTTACTACCAAATCCATTATTCTTGTAGGAAACGCAAGCCAGGCTGCAGTGTGTAAGTGGAACCATATATTCAGTTAACTGAGAAGCTGAGTTTTAACTTGATCAAATCATTCCTGGGATTTTCTAGTCAACCTCACACACACTTTCCAGTCTCTCACAGAGCACCACAAAAATGCAATGTTCTATGTCCCTTTACAGAAACAAATACAAACAATAAAGATTCTTTAATGTGCACAGTTTCCAGTGCTTAAGTGCTGTGTAAGCCTGTATNCCTCTCACAGAGCACCACAAAAATGCAACGTTCTATGTCCCTTTACAGAAACAAATACAAACAATAAAGAGTCTTTAATGTGCACAGTTTCCAGTGCTTAAGTGCTGTGTGCACATCTTTACTTAAGCCTGTATCACACCAAACAGTAATTCCAAGATCAGTGGCACTAAAATGGGGCAAGATTGGAAATGCATGCATAATGTAACAATTCTCTTGCATTCGCTCACTTTTTTTAATTTCAAAAATGTAAACTTACAGAAAATGTGCACTGGCAATAAAGTGTATATTTTGTTCTACACAGCACTTGTTCAAAACATTTTTTGCTTCAGTAAGCATTATGTGAATTACATGCAAGATATGGAAAGGCTCATGTATGTCTCCATGTAAGGTGTCCACTATTAATCCTCAATTATTAGGCTAAAACTGGACCATGTCAACACATTTTAATAAAATATCTTGAAACTGAATTTCAAAAAACCTTTCATTTCTTGTGAACTGTCACATGTTGTGTGACAGACATGGAATTAATAGGCATATTTTTGCAATATTTCATTGCATACCTGCTGAACAACATATGACATCACTGTAAGTAATAACATAACTGCCATTATTGCAGTTAATTTTTGCAATTTGAAAAACTTGAAACAATAATTAAGCTATAGGACATGATGAAATAAGACATGTTTTTGAAGGTTTTAACAGTTTTATGGAAAATCAAATAATGAAGAGATGCATGGAGAGAACTACGAATATTTCAAGATTTCTGAAAGCACTGGCAAGATGAATAAGAGACACTTCAAACTTGTGTTCATGTAGTATTTGACTGAAAAGGCTAAGAGATTATTTCACCCATGCTGACACTTTGTTTTTTCCAAACAAGTTATTGGGCTCAAGGTAAGCTTCAGAAATCATTGGCCAGATAGATCTTCCTCAATGTATTGCTGTACTTATTCCACACAAAGAATAGGAAAGAGAGAGGGAAGGAAAAAAGCTGTAGGAAGGGTGACATGATAACTTCTATAGAAAAGTGTTTTGAAGCCAACCACACCAAATTCAAACTGCAATATAGTATCAATGGCTGTTGCAAGTCTTTTGAACCAGAAAACATCTCTCCAGACAGACATATAACAGAAAAGATTTGTTTTGTTATGCTTCCTGGAGGGAACTGTAGCATGCTACCAAGAAAGCCATTCCATTGATTTCCAGACCAGTTGTAAACACAATCTATAGATCAGAGTTTGGTAAGTCAGTTCAAGGTTAAGACACATTCAAGGAAACTCAATATAGCACAATGAAGTGTCTGATCTGTAACACAGTAATTATTATAGGTGCATATTTTATGTGAACTTATTCACTTCCTAAATAAAATCCTTGGCTGAGAGGAGTAGTGAAGAAGTAGAGTAAGAAGAAAGCAAAGTATTTCAAGGGCAATGAAAAAAGAAACACTGTTTTGCTGAGAATAAAGTAATATGCATGACATCTAAACAAAGGGTAAGAAATGCTAAGAGTGTACAACCTCAGAAGACATTTTGAAACTAAAATTTAGATTTCATTAAAAATATTCTAGGAAATTCACAAAACAAAAGTAGCTTCTCTAGTTTTGGGACTGAAGGGACACCAAAAAAAAGGTATTTTTCTTCAGAACAAGCAACTGAAGTGAATTCTGAAAAGCCAACAAGTGTCAAGTCATCAAGGCCCTTTACTAAAAGAGATTTTCTAAAAACGGGTTACTTGTTTCACAAAAGCTTGTTACACAAACTGCACAAAAATATCTGAACCAATCAACAATACAAAGGGGAGCAGACGACATTTCAAAAGATACCGAAACTAAATTTTCCATAATATGCAACAGGTACATTTATTGCAGTTGTGTGAGAGAGAGCATGACAGAGATATCATGAGAGAGAGAGAGAGAGTGTGTGTGTCTGTGTGTTTAGGAAAGATGCCACACAGAATGAAGAACATGGGAGGAAATTTCTACATATATACATAAACTATACCACTACAAGATTAGCATCACCAGTAAATGATCACCATGGCCAACTAGGTGCAGGGTGGAACACATCTTTATATATTCTCATTTTTAAAATTAAACTGTGTTAGGAATACATTTCAGTCTTTGCTGGTAAATGTACTAATTCAAGGAAATTATGATGGATGACAGCAGAATACTGGACTACTAGTGGCATTGTGGCAACATAATCAGTAAGACAGCAGAGAGGCCAGCTGTGAAGCTGAAGGTCACAGAAATTTCTAAAATTCATTGTTTGGGAACTGCAAATTAGGTGGGGGAAAAATATCATTTTCTGGCCTTGCAGGAAATACTTTGTTGAGGAATACTGAGTATCGAGTATAGAGGGGGTGGGTTTCCCCATGCACTTAGACCAGTTATTGGTCCATTGTGCGTCCCCCTTTTAATTTCTATTGTCTCCATACCCTACCGGTACTGGTGCTCGTTATTAGCCCCTTTCTGCCAGCGAGGTTCCAACCTTCTACTGGCAGTGGTATCTAATAGTTGGTCCCTTCCTGTCAGAAAGGTCCTCCCTCCTCTGGCAGCGGTACCTAATACTTCCCCATCTACCGGAGGCATTGGAATAATTAGCATGATCTTGGTGTTTCACGTAAGTTTTCCATTATTATATTTAAGCATCCTGTTGCACTCTACACGATAAATGATACAAACTCTGTCCCAAGTGCAAACAATTTATATTATTAGTTACTATAGGATTCTGACGATGGTGTATAACACACTGATATATTGGGTTTTTGGACTTTATCCATCGTCCTGGTTTTTAAGATAACTAATAAAATATGACGTTTCGGAAACTGATCTGTTTCCATCCTCAGGTGAAGGAAAACACCTATTCTGTTGGGTCTGTTAGAAAGAGCTAGCCTCAATCACTGGACGATTGTGATTTCTAACGGACCCAACAGAATAGGTGTTTTCCTTCACCTGAGGATGGAAACAGATCAGTTTCCGAAACGTCATATTTTATTAGTTATCTTAAAAACCAGGACGATGGATAAAGTCCAAAAACCCAATATATCAGTGTGTTATACACCATTGTCAGAATCCTGTAGTAACTAATAATATAAATTGTTGGCACTTGGGACAGAGTTTGTATC